ATGCTCCGGAAGGGGACCTACCGAGACCTTTAGCGTTCAACCCTCGTCAACTATCTTCTGCCCGTGGTGACGGCACACTGTGGAACTGCAGTTGATCTTCAGTGCGGCATGGGGACGATGACCGCCCAAGACTCGAAGCAGGCGCGGCGCTCAGAGTTGTTGTGGCGCTTCCCGGTTTAATTCTCCGACCTCAGCTTATTACGCTCGATTGCTCTTTGGCCCGTTCCAGCGAAAATCGTCGGTGTCAGCTCACCCCGTCAGATTAGACCTGGTCTTCCAGAATAGCTCGCAGATACTTCAAGGCGTTTCTGGGTTGCCCCTCTTACTACCCAGCCAGAGATACAAATATAGATGGGACGACCAAAGCCACCTCACCGTTCGTCTAAGACAAACGATCCTTGGTAGCCAGGTGCACAGACTAGCGCCACGCTACAAGTCAGAGCGGCCTAGCATCGCGGGAGCGATCTCCAGGAACATCAGACAGCCGCTTTGCAGATTATTCTGCCCATCTCGACGAAAAGGCTGCCCATCTTGAGAGACGCCTGGAATCTCAGCATCATGGTGGCTGAAAGAGAGCCCCAGGACTCACCTCCAAGATAATGACGAATACTTACAAATTCATGACAATCTGGAAGCCACACCATATCCAGACTTCGCACAGAGAGCCGGGTCTAGGTGACACTCTGTTGAACCAACCCGCCTTCTCCTGGCTTTTTCGGAGACTAATGCCAGATAACTGTCGAAGAGATGATCTCGGGCCTGCCCTGAGACGTCCACCAGCACACCAGGCAATGTTATCGCCACCCCTCTTGTCGGATGACCGCCCGTCTCCCCGCAAACAAAAAAGTTCAGCGGTGACAGGGAGACGCTGCCGCATCTGAGAGGCATGCAAGTAGCCGACGAAGGATGCGCCAATCAGGTCTTCAATATTCGCATTCGAATACAATGCAAGGTTTGACCGAGTTGCCTCACTGGGACGTTCGTCTTGGTGGCAGGCTTTCCAGTTCGTGCGCTACATGGATTGTTCAAATGGCGGCAACCGGTGAGATCTCGGGGTCTCGAATCTACGCGCTGCATCGTTCCAGTCTGACGGTACCTTCGGAGATCTGCACAATCTGCATCTAATTCCATGAGGGACGCCTCAGCTTACACCGCATCATAGACTTGCTCGAAGTGGAGTACCACCTCCGAGCATCGCTCATGCAGGAGGCAGCACTAGAAAGACGACAATGTGTGGAAACACCAAGAAACATGGGCCGTGGGGGCGATCACTTATTTCCCTCCAGCATGACATTCACTGCCATGCATCTTGTTGTGCTGGTCGTCAATAGTCAGTGAAGATAGGAAACACGAACACCTTAATGTTCGTGGGCGTCATGATGTTGGTCTCTGACAGACCTTCGGAAATCTTGAGTCGTTTTATCTCGGTTTCTGGCCACCTCGGCGTGGCCGCGGATTTTCCCCTTGAGGCTCTGTAGCATGAGTTGTGCAACGTCTACGGACGACACAAGCAGTGGGATCGGTCGTCGACACATTGTTGGACAAGAGCGGCCACGCCCGCTGCCGGGGCCAAGCGTTTTCGATCTGGAGCGCCTTTGTTTGCCATGGTCAGGAATAATCTGTGTTCAGACGGACAAAGCTGAGAGAAACACGGCCGTTCCCGCAGACCCCACCAATCTTCAAACGTTGCTCTCACGGACCAGCAGCTTAATTGTACGTATGACGACAATGCTCTATCAGGTTTGCAGATTCTCATCGTGTGAGATGCAGCATAATTAACTCACACCCTGTAGAGTCTTTTCGACCTGATAAGTCCGTCTATATCGTGGAGCTGCATTGCGCATCTGCATGGAAGCTGCAATGGAACGTATGGCTGCAACGTTCACTTGGTTGAAATATAGAGCTCTAGTCCCGACTTTGTTTTGCACTGCTAAACGACTCCTACATCTCGTCGGGTGTGGTCGCCGTCCGGGGCCACACACCCCTTACCAACTTCGGGTCCGACGCCAGAGGTATCTCCAGCCGCCTCACACGTCGCATGTATGTTGAATCAATGTCGAAATGGGGCGATGTTGTATTGTAAGACGATGACAAGCTGTTTCCCCTGCATCGAGCCAACCTATCGCAACTCCTCGGTCAATTCAGTGGGACAGTCAACAACCCGAAACAGGAGTCGTCACGGACGCCACATTGGAGCTCCTTACAATAGCATATTCTCTCAGAAAACGCATCTTTCCACAAGAAAACCCGTCAATGTCGGCGTCTCCAGGATACGTCTTAGGTTTGAATCAATATTCGCAACGCGCTGATCGAAACCCCTAACAAGAAACTCGATTCTGGCACAAAGGCGTAGCCGGGCTCATCGAGGGCGATGAGCCAGCTCATTTGGCGAGAGATGCAAGTCGAATGAGTCAAGGACAAAAGGAAAGAACACGTAATGAGCCCGAACAAGAAAGACTTATCCATGTAAGGATGTACGTTGTACCCGTGGCTGGTGAAGTCTGACATATCGTGGAACAGCCTTGCATCTCACCCGCTGTTGGCATGTCAAATTTCTCCAACGTAACAGGTCTTCGCTACCGCGCCAAGCTGATGCTCGGTAGAGCACAACACGGGGGAGTTCATGTGTCACCAACGAACGGACTCTAGCTCTTCGAGGCTTCACGTCCCTGTGCCAAAGAACATGCTGTTGCGTCTGACCACAAAGCCGTCCACACTCATGTCGATCATTCCTTCGATCGCGTTTTTGAGAAACACGGTCGAATCGCGAATTCATATCCTGGAACTTCGTGGCTTCAATCTCGGATATTTGCTGAAATATTGACTCGTCGGTACTCTCTGAGACGATATCGAAATGAGTAGATCCTGGAGAATTACACCATCCATAAGGATCGGTCATGTCGATATGCTGTTGAGATCCCAATCTCGTTAATCGATGATACTTCTGTCCTCTGTGGATACTCGGAGAGAGCGCCTGAAGACGCCGAAAGGACCCGTCGCACAACTTCAGGCCAATGCTCGAGCCGCCGATCGACCACCAGGGGGCGTCACGACGCTATCTGAAGTCGTTTCCAAGATTGGTGGCTCTGGCGTCAACGAGCCGAATAGGCGTAGAAAACGCCAACGATTCGGGGTGGCCCTTTTTCATTCACAGATCAAGATCTCGCGGGATCCCTATCATGGAGAAGCTCGACGAAAATCGTGGCTCTTGGTGTGACACGAACTCAGGGGGACAATTAGCCAGACCTGGAAGACAGGCCCTGTCTGGTTCCTGTCGCTGACTCTTTCAGTGATGCGAACGCTTCGTCGACCACTTGCTAGGAATGCATGGACATTTCTATGCTCCGTCAGCCTTACGGGAAGAAACAAGCATGACTGCAGACTGCCAGACATTACGAACAGGCCATCCTGGCATGACCGTTTTGAGAAACGACCAGATTTGCATTTTGTACGTTACTCATTCCAACGTCCTCTTTTCTCTCAAAAATTGACCAACAGCTTGCTGTCAGCAAAACATCAAACAGCCCCTTTCTCACTACCTTATGCATTCCTCACATCCGCACTTCTGCCTCAGCATGTGAGCTTCCCCCCCCCCCCCACCCCAGCAGATCACAATCATATCTTCGAGTGTGCAACCATTCACTTTGCATCCAAGTCTCCGGCTACTCGGGTTGGCATACTTGATTCACCTAGTAGATGCAGACAAAGCGCATATTCTACAATTCAACGACTGACAAGTCAATTCTCGAAAGAGCTTCCCGACGGAAAGCATCCACTACTTTAATTGATGGGGAGCGTCCGGTATTGGATCCTGGCGTGATATTTGATTTGTGCTGACAACACGCTTCTTAGACTTCTCCCCACAAACGGATAACGGTCACGAACCAACTCATCTCCAATGGCGCGCCAACTCTAGGCAGACAAGCTTGGCCCTAGAAGAAAGGGACGAGATCAAGCGTTTGGTGCGCACAGGTTGCCCGAAACGTTGATCACTTTCAATTCCGCGCACAACATCGGGTTCCGCTGTGGATGCATAGGAGCCCCTGCCCCCAAACAGCAAGACGAGACGACGCGGAAGGGTTTTAAGGCTTTCTAGTCCCTGACAAGCAAGTTTCTTGCGGGGGATCATCAGATCAGCTTGATTCGCCTGTTCAGCCGTTCCGCCCTCAATTGGACAGATTTGGCGAGTCGACAAGGAGCTGGAGAGAGCCTGCCTTCAGCTGCAAGCCACAATATCCGTTTTAGGCCTAAGTCCATGATAGTGTCATTTTTGGGCACCGCTAGACTCCACCACACCGCTAATATGGCAAAACGAAAAACACGATATCTGAGTTGTCATCGCCCGAAGGGTGTTGTTCGTCTTGTTGATGGCATGGCCGTGGATACATGAGGTTCAAGTGAACATCTGGAGTGGTTTTGCTGAACGAAGGTGTCTTTGATGATGCTGCAGCTTCATCTGATGGACCGATATCGAGCTGGAGACGAGCTTGGAACGGTGCAGCTCCCTTGCCTCCACCGAGACAACATCACGAGTGGGAAAGGTCTTGGAAGTAAACGACCCTGGAATGATTGCGTGCCGGTGTGCCTTGCAAGGTTGTGACCTCCCGCGCTATCGCAGCCGTCTGTTCGTACCCGCAGCGCGAGGCAGAGTTTCCACATGGCCCAATCAACATACACCGACCTGGCACGAACAAGCAACCAAAACTACAGCTGCTGGACCCTTGGTGTGTCTCTTCTCTGAGGTTCATTGGCGACAGGAACGCCATGGACATTCGTGTCCCCCGCAGGGCGCGAGCTTCGGCAACTTTTCCTATCCAGCCCCGAGTTGGGCTGCCTGGAGGCTGGTTGTATGCGGGTGTGAGTGGGTGTCTCTGGCTCCCTTTTTCCCGCATGCTCTTCTTGAAGGTCTTTTTTATCTGTTCTTCCGCTCGCACCTCCTTCGTTTCTCTCCTTCTGCCACCTTCTCGTTGATACGCGATCCTGAGTTCAGAACCGACGACATGGGCAGATTCATTCGGCTAGGAGCTCTTGCTTGCTTGTACTTGGGGGCGGAGTCCAAGGCACTGAGATGGCAGGATGATACCCCGAGTTGGTCTCCTCCCAAGCAGACTATTGCCGCCATGGACATGTTGGAGCTTGGTTTCAGTCCTGCGCCGACGGCGGCACCTGATCCGGGTAACGTTGAGCTCAAGCTGGCCAAGCGTGTAAGGGGTGACGACACTTGCGGTTACATCTCTGGAATATCCAGTAAGTCAGATTAAACTCGGTCGTGAATGAAGCATGCATCACTAACCTTTGTCAAGCCGATTCAATTTACTGTGATGTTGGAACATGCGTGATCAACAGCTTCTACTCTGTTGTGGGATGCTGCGGTTCGACCAGCATGTCGGACTGCAAGCTGCCGACGGCCTGTCTTCCATCAAGCTCATCCAGACTGTACAGCAGCGCAGATACTCTTATGCTATACTGGTAAGCAATTGCCGATGTTTTACTTCAATACGCCAAGAGTACTTGTCTGACAACCGCTTGAAACAGCTCTTCTTCAGGACGACCAGAGTGCAACACATACGTCTACTCTGATTCTGTATTTTCCAAGTACACTCTCTTCAACTGCGCCGTCACCGAGGCTCGGATCATCGTCTACGCAAACCCAACAGATACTACCGGCGACGCCACCACTGAAGCGACCACAGCCCCGACCTCTGATCGCACCACCGGTGGTTTGTCCCCTGTCACCAGCTCCGCCTCTCCGAGCGCGGCCACGACCTCCGCCGCATCACACGGCGGTGGCTCGTCCACCCCCATTGGTGCCATTGTCGGTGGCGTCGTCGGAGGGTTGGCAGTAATCGCCCTAATCGCCGTCGGCATATTCTTCATCCTCCGCAGCAAGAAGAAGAACAACCAGAACCACCCCCAGGCCGCTCCGGGCACGTATAACCCGCAACAGCCCCCGCCAGGCCAGCAGCCGCAGATGTATCAGACGGCGCCGACGCAGCAACAGCAGCCTTCTCCCGGAGGCTACGCGCCCGCGCCCACCACGCCCGGCAACTTCCCGTCCGGCTTCACGCCCGTGGATAACAGGCAGAGCATGCTGAAGCAGCCGTACGACGTCAGCGCAGCGAGCTACGATCACAACAATGGCGTCAGCCCGCCCGCCAGCCCACCTCCCATGAGCCCGTCGCCGACGTACCAGTCCGGTATTCCGGCGTATGCGCAGCAGGGGAGCGGACCTAGTCCGACGCAGGGCGGATATCCTGCGCCACAGCAGCAGCAACAGCAGCAGTCACCGCAACAGTTTTACAACGCGCCGCCGCCGGCCCAAACGCAGCAGCACACGACGTCGACTACATCCCAGACCCACTACCACCACAACAGCTTCGCTTCTGAATTGCCTGCTGCGAGGGGAGACGGCGAATTGCGCGAGTTGGCTTAAGCCTCTGTCGTCAGTGAGGCGAAGTGGTGAAAAGTCGGTGTTTTGGATGTGGGTGCGATGGATTTTAATGTCTGGAGTTGCTGGAACAGAATGAGATTTGATGGGATATGAACTGGGAACCACTATCATTATCATGTGTAAATGTATACCCAAAGTCTCCTAGCATAGCTTGGATGGGACTTCCACCCTCTCTCATGCAATGCTGGATTGATCAACACACAATATGCTGGTTTATGCTTGAGGTGAAGTACTTCATCTACAATCGGCTCTGTCTGTCCCTGCGCCATGGGGTATTTGGATTGTCCTCCCGACCCGGAACGAATTGGTCTACGGCCAGCGTGTTGAGGAAGCCCGGATGAACCTGGTCCAGGCTCGTGACGCCGCACATTTTCATCGTCGTCTCCAACTCGTCTCGAAGTACTATTCGTCCCGTTAGTCAAGATCTTGGCGCCACAATATCGAAGGGAAAGACAACTTACTCTCGACGTATCGCTCAACGCCCTCCGCGCCGTAGTTGAGCGCATACAGCAACCCCCTTCCGACGCCGACGGCCTTGGCCCCGAGGCACAACGCCTTGAAGATGTCGGTGCCGCGCGAGATGCCCCCGTCAACGTACACCTCGAGCTTATCGAACACGTGCGGGCAGTTCTTCTGCAGCTCGAGCAGGACCATGACGGTCGCGGGCGAGGTGTCGAGGCTGCGGCCGCCGTGGTTCGAGAGCACGATGGCCTCCACGCCCGCGGCGGCCGCGCGCTCGGCGTCCATCCACGTCTGGATGCCCTTGAGCACGATGGGCATGCCGGGCACGGTGCGCCGCAGCCAGGCGATGTCGGACCAGTTCACGGACGCGTCGATGTAGTCGCCCATGATGCGCCCGATGGCGCCACCCTTGGCGTCGTTGCCGGCCTTGGCGCCCGAGATGGGAGACGAGCCGATGGAGGCGTCGGAGCGCACGCGCTCGTCGGCCTCGCGCTTGCCGGGGATGGGGGCGTCGACGGTCAGGAAGAGGGCCTTTGCGCCCTGGGCCTGGGCGGAGCGGATGAGGCGCTCCGAGTTGGCGCGGTTCTTGTCGACGTAGAGCTGGAAGAAGACGGGGACGTCGTAGGGCTTCGGCGGGGAGAAGGCGGCGTGCGCGGCGAGGATCTCGGCGAGGGGGAAGGAGGCGCTGACGGAGACGCCCTGGGGGATGCCGGCGGCCTTGCAGCCGCGGCCGAGCTCCTTCTCGCCGTCCGGGTGGAAGAGGCGGGCCATGGCGGTGGGCGGGCAGAAGATGGGGGAGCGCATGGGGTTGGCGAGCATCGTGGTGGAGGTGTCTACGGCGGACACGTCGACGAGCACGCGGGGCCGCAGGCCGATGAGGGAGTAGGCGGAGGCGTTGAGGCGTTTGGTGTGCAGGTCTGTCGCGGCGGAGGAGACGAAGGCCCAGGCTTTCGGGGAGAAGGACGTCGAGGCGGCCTGTTCGAAGTCGTGGGCGCTGATGAGGGTGTCCAGTGGTGGTTTTGAGGGTGGCGGCGGTGGTGGTGCTCTTTGCCCGTCTTGCCTCTCATCGTTGGGGGAGATGTTGACCGGCTGGGCGTGCTGGGTCTGCTTCGGTTTGGGCATGGCTGCGCCCGAGGCGAGGACGCCTTTGAGGTGGGCGGCGGGCAGGGTCGACTTCACGAGGTTGGGCCCGTGGACTTCGGAGTAGACGTCCGTCGCGTCTTTGCCGGCGCACTGTAGGATCACGGCGATGCCGCCGGGGTGTTCGCGGACGAAGTCGGAAAAGTCCCACACGTTGCCGTCGATGACGAGCCAGATGTCGTTGAGGGTGTTGTGCTTGGATATCTCGGCTGGTGTCAGCGTCGGCGGCATGGTGAGACGTGTAGTTGTTGACGTGAAGGTAGGAACATTTTCTGCGCCAGGCAATGATGATTACATATTTGTATACTCGACCTCGGGCCGGGACCGCTCAGGCGGTTCGTTCGTCTGAGATGCAACGGCGCCGAGGGGTAGTCGAGGTCTCGGGCGGCATTACGCCGAACGGGGTCGGTGTGGGGGAGGATCCCCCCGGTTATCCGGCATCGGGTAGGTAAGCTGGTAAGGTAGGGGTAAGGTATCCCGCGGGTTCTGATGGGCGGGTTCCCCAGGGGGAACTCACTCGCTCAAAGGATGCACGGACGGCAGCTGGCTGTCATGAATGTAAATCACCGAGACGGCATTGGACGTTCTTTTTTCGGCTGCAGGGCCGCCAACAGCACTTCATCTTTATTTTTGATTCTCTTCCCAGATCACCCCGCCAAGGCCTTCCCGATCAGACTCATCGCTCTCTCGCTGTGGTTCATCTTGAGCGCGATCTGGCGGCCGGGCTCGCTCATCTTGGCCCACGTCTTTTGCAGGATGCCAATGATCTTGGCCTCGTCAATCTCCTCCTTGCTCTCGAAGTCGTCAAATTGGTCGTCGAGGAAGACCAGACAGGCGACGTCCTCGAGGACCTGCGTCTCCTCGTCCTTGCTCAGGTTCTCCTTGCGGATCAGCGCCGCCACGCGGTCGACGTCCTCGGCGGGCAGCGGCGGCTGGATCTCCGCGGACGATGACAACAGCTCGGCCACCTGCGTCGCGGCCTGGGACTTCAGCTTGGCGCGCCAGGTGAGGTAGCCCGGGCGCGTCATTGGGTATGTGTTGCGGGGGATCTCCCATCTAGAACGGTTGTGTGTGCGTGAGTTGCAGTGGTTCCTCTTTTTAGATTGTCCTTTGTCTCATGTACTTTGCGCATCTCGCCATGCAAATTCATGCTTAAATCAATGCGTAATGAAGAAATGGAGAGAGAAGGGTGGTAGTATATCTGACCTCCGGAAATGCTGGGCTCGGCAGGCCAGCTGCAGCACGGGGGGCGCCGTGGGACATCGCACCGCCAGCCAGCGCGTCATTTTGTGGGCATAGTGAAGCTCAAAAGTGATATCGGCGGCGGCGGTCGAGGGTCTGGGGTCTTGCTTGTGGGCCTCGTCAATCAGCTCGAGAGCCTTGAGGTAGTTTGGTGGCAGGTCGGGCAGTGCCATCTTGGGTGAGTGAGCAAGATGGTGTGGTTCCTGCTAATCGGGTGTGGTTATTGGGTAGGTGCTGAGAGAGAGAGCGATGATGGTTCGTTTCAAGCTTCAGTGTGAGAAGTCATGCTCCCTGACAAGGGCAAAAAAAGGCTTCAAAGCCCGGCGGGTGATTGACTATCTGCAACCACTAATAGCGCAGCGCCCCAACCAACTGGAACCCACTCCGTTCCACGCGAGATGAGTAAGCTGGTTCCCTGATTGGGCTGCTCCCGGAGCATCGCCCGTAGCACCACCATTCTTCAGTGAGAGCCTCAAACCGCGCCCCGGACCTTGTCGTTAACATCAGATTGCTATGAGAGTCGGGTTGCAAATGCCAGCGAATTCCCACTCAACATCACACTCGGCACGTCGCACAATTAACGCCTATTCTGGAGACTGCCAATACAATGTTCGACACAGCCATTTGCTTGACGCCATCGGCACGCTCCAGTCGCCGGTCTCGCCTGCTCTAGACTCTGGCAGACTTTATTGCAGCGGGTGTGTGTTTGGTCCCTTCGTCCCATGTTGTCGTGTCTGACGCCAGCTATTGATGTTTGGCCCCTCTCACCCTCTTTTTTTCTGGTTCTCGATTGCCTCGACGGGTTTGACACTTTGGAGGTCTTAGAGGCCGTATTAATAGAATTGAGGGGCCACTTCCTGGTCTTGGTAGTCGCAGCCAGCTTCGAGTGGTTTGACGGGCTTCTCCCTCAGAATTCACTGCCACAGACGATTTGTTTTTCCGACACTTGCTCTGGACCACTCGTGCGGGTAGATATTTCTGGAGCTGAGTCCGGTTGGGAAGGAGCTCGTTTAGGATCCGTCGCAGTGAGAATCCGATTTTGCTGAACTCTCGGCCGCTCCTTCCTCAGCACCTTCGTCCATCTACTAATCCACCCCACCACCACCATCTCTCCACAACGTTCACTTCTACCTCGACAACTACTACCTCCTTCTTCACAGCAACAAACAATAGATCGCATCAATTGTTTGGTATAACTTAGGATTCATTCCCTTTCGCTGAACGACCCCAACCTCCCAAACAAAAACTGGATAACGAAAATTAACCAACCGTAAGATAATCACCACCCCGCGCCTTCCAATCTCAACTCACTAATAACATCTCAGGCCTCTTATCCTCCACAAAGACATCAATCCACAACAATTTACTACTGCTTTCACCACCTCTTCGCCAACCCTTTTTCATCTTCTCCTCGCCCCTACTTTTCAACAACATTCACCATCGCCTTTACTACTGCAATCACATGTCACTGCTACAATGACGGGCACAAAGGCTGGTGGCTCTCACAGCCATAACCTTACTGTTGTCAAGGACCATGACGACGCTTCTTCAATCACAGCGGTGACAATCGAATCGGACTCTGATGCTAGCAGCACTGTTACCCTGGTCGATCTTTTTCCAGACCTCGCCATCTTGGACAGCGACGCTGCCGGCGACACCTCTGCTGAGTCCACTGACGCTACGAGCTCTCAGGTCAGCAGCACCGGTGATGAACAATCCACAGACGCAGACAACGAAGCCTGCGCCAAGAAGTCAGGCGATGCCAATTTCAGCAAGCAGAGGGGAAAAGCTGTCGAGGTTGAGAGCGAATCCGCAGAGGCGTCAGCTGCAGAGAGCACCAGTGGAAACGAATCGACATCTGAAGTGGCATCATCCGAGGCAGGCACCGAAGAGGCAGCCGCAGCTGATTCCACAACTTCTGGCGAGGCTTCCTCCAGCGAAGTGGCTTCTTCGGATGGAGCATCAGATGCCTCAACCAGCGCAAAGCCATCAACCCCCGGTAACTGGACAGACTCAGAAGATGCCTTGATCATCAGCATGAAGGAGGGCGGCGAGACCTGGGCAGCCATTGGAAATGCCATGAACCGCGGAAAGAATGAGGTAAAGAAGCGCTGGCACGTGGTGAAGGCCAACCAGGCCAATTCGACCGAGTCTGGAGGCGATACTCAGACCGACAAGAGTGCAGAATCAGCCGAGGAGAAGGAGCCTGAGGCCACGGCGGAGGAGAAGCAGAATAAGGGAAAGGAGAAGCAGAATGTCGAATGCACCAGGCCGAAGAACGCCAAAGACAATGCGGCAGGCTGCAAGAAGAAGGGCAAGGAGCAGGAGGTTGCTTGCGATAAGGAGAAAATCAAGGAGTCCAAACAGAAGAAGCAGAAGAAGAAGCCTGTCGTGAAGGAACCGGTTGCAGAGAAATCCGAGTCTGAAGATGACGACGCAGAGAGCTCGTCCTATCGCGAGCGCATGAATCTACTCCGAGACACATCGTCTGAGTCTGAGTCGCCCGCTACCAGCGGCGATGACGCAGATGCGCCCGGCTACTACGAGCGGGAGGTTGCTCGCCAGGGGCGATACATTCGTCGACACGTCCATCCTCAGCTCTACCCTGTTCCGCCTGCCGCCCGAGCGCCAAGCCCAGCAGACAAAAGGCAGCGCCGGGACGATGCCATCCTAGCGGCCGTGGCTTCAAGACGAGAGGCTACAAAGTGGCTGGAGATGCAGGCTAACTTCTTCAACGTCACTGGCCGTATGGTTCCCCTTCACCTAATCAAGGCGAGATGCGAGGCCGAGGAGGATCGAGGCAAGGCGGCTGGCGTCCGCACCTGGGCTTCTTCCGTTGCGGGAAGCCAGGACTTGCTCGACCCTGAGGAGCAGCCTGAGGTTCCCGAGGATGCTCTCCTGAGCGATGACGACTGACGACTGACTACACAAATACCCCCGCGCGGCTGACACGACATTTCGCTTTCATCCCTTCTCCTCCACTTATGAGACGATGATTGATGATGACAGCGTTTTTGATATCCGGTTGAAAGGCAATGGGAAGTAATTTTCGTGCAAGTTGTGGGGTGAAAGTCGGGCCAGAAAAGCTTCTTTCTTTAAAAAAAAGATTGCTTGGGAACAGAACGAAGCTGTTGGTTGGGCAAGAACGAACGGACGGAAAAATGGACGTGGGACATGGGAACAGATTCACATAGATCTGCTTTTCTTTTTTGCTTTGCTCTCTTCTCTTTGGGGCGTTTTGGTGGGCCCTTTGTGTACATGGGCAAAGAACAAGGGCTTTTGAGAAAGGGATATTGGGTTCTGGGTTAATAGGAGTTACGGATAATCACGCCAAATGGAATACCCCCTTTAGTTTCTCTTACAACAAGCTGACAAAGTGAAGTTGGCATGAAAGGTTGACTGCGAAGTGAGTTCGTGTGTGTTTGGGTGCACAAACTGAGACGGTTGATGTGAAGTGAACAGTCAATTCTGGCGGATCAAAGCTGGGTGGCATTGAAACATGGGCACAATCAGCATGACAGGGCCATGTGGGACAGAGGCTTTGAAGAAATTGGGCAAGTTTCCAATTTTCCGGAGAAATTTACAATCCACCACCCATCTCGTAGGAACAGGGTATCATGGAACCAGATATTACAACAAGACACAAAAACACCGCTGCCGCCATTGCGCGGAACGCGTCTCTCCAAAACCCTCCTCCTTTTTCAGCTACTCTTGCCAGAGTCTGTCCAATATCCAACAAAGTATAAGTACAATTGCAGAGGAGCTTCGAGTGTTACCAAGAGCTCGCAATGTTTATTATGTGCAGCCCTTTATCTTGCTGCTTCCGACAATCAAATGTCTGGGATGGCTGGGATGGCTGAGATCAAGGCGATCTGAGACTGACAGGTCATCTCGTCCCCAACACTCAGAGATGGGCAGCCCCGTGAGAATCTGCCATTTGGGACGCTGAAGCCGCGCGCCTCCCGATCCGACGTCACGATGAGACGCAATACCCCCTAGCATCGGTGGCTGTATCGTCTCTTCGTCCTCGGCTTGCCGGAGAGCTTCGTCCAAGTATCGTTGCCAGGGTCATCGACGTTCGTTTGAACACTGGATGGAGATGTTGTGAGGCCAACCACTGCTGATGACCTCTCCGTCATTCAAGAAGAAACTCCGCCATTGGTGGTCTTTCAAATGGGATTCTCCATGCCGGGGGCCATCGTGGTGCCCGGCGGTGCCGGACTCGGGCTCGGTCCTTTGGTCAACGTGTTGTTGCTCGAACCCAGCCCGCGCTTCATCATCTTGCCCAAGACGGTGACCAGCTCACAAGCATCGGCAAACATGTCGTCATCCATACCCTCCGTCGCTTCGTACACTTCGGAGATGGTGTCCTTAGCCAGCTTGCGGCTTCCGTCATAGTCGTGAACGCAGTCGTACAGGAACGCAGAGTACTCTGTCTTGGCAGACAGTCGTAGCGAGTGCGAGCCCCAGAGATGCTCATCAGCCAGCGCAATGGCCTCCTTGAAGTACTTGTGGGCCTCAGGGAGAAAGTCTCGTGGCGGCTCGAGGAAGGCGGCAGGTAAGTCCGAACCATTACGAGGAGCGAACCCCGGCGGAGGGTTTACCGGACCACCCTCGAGAGCATGCGTTGGCTGTATGGAACCTTGCGACGAGTTCCAGTCCTCCCTCGCAATCCCCTTGCCTTTGTCCAGTCTGGGTGGTGTCAGGCCGGCCATTGTGTCGGGGGTCGAAATGCCCATTGTCGAAACAGAGGGCTTGTTGTGGAACAGGACAAAAATGTGATAAAACGATGCTCGCAACTTGAGTGCCAAGACGCGAAGCTCGGTGTGATTACCGACCATGGGGATCACATATTGCTGAAGCATGACTAGACCTTCTCGTGAAAGCCATATTATGTGAAAAATGAGGTCGAGGGATTGAGGCGCGCGAGAAGGGTCAGGGCGGCGCTGCTTCTTTGCGACGACGAGCTGCTCCGCGAGGCTGAGTGAGAGACCGAGGATCTTGTAGAGCATAGACGACAGAAGGGGGTTGTCCGTCTCGACGGCCTTGGCCCACTTGCCGAGGAACTTCTGGTCAACCTCGGAAGAAGCCATTGAGGCTTTTGAGATTGATGAGGCGGTTGGAAGGTGGGTCGCGCCTGCCTTGCCTTATCAACGGTGAAGGTTCTCAGATGAGATACTGAAGCGAACACGTCAGGGATTGCCAAGACGGGCTGACGGGGTCAAGATCCTCTGCGGGAAACACCAGTTCGATCGCGCGATTCAGGAGTCGGGTTCGATGAGAAAGCTGACCAAGTCTGAGCGATGGGTATCGTTATGATGAGCGTGAGTTAGAAGTAAGTCCCGGGTGGGACTTGGACGATTGAGCTGGCGGTTGCCTAAGTATGCGCCGTCGGGTGTAGTCGTGGTACTCTTTATTAAAAGGCTGCGTGTGTTAGTACCTAATCAGCAGCAAGACAGTCTCATCAATTGAGATGCAGAGGCCAATACTCACGGATATGATACATTACAGTGAGTGAGACGGAAGTTGGTGGGTAAAACGGCCGATTGGAGGAATGCTTAAGGCGAAAGACGGCTAGCAAGAGACTGAGAGATGCTGAGACTCAAACGGCAAAACGATTATGGAATGGCCTGTTTTCGCAGAGAGCATTGCGATGTTGACCGTGATTTAGTTCGGCTGTCGTTGTGAGGCCTTATTAGAAGCAACGGCAGGCTGAAGCTGTCAATTGGCCTGCGAGGACAATCCCTGGAGGAAAAACGAGCGTAAGAAGGGACAAGCCGGTCTGGAAGGAAGCGGTGAGAGGCTGGCGCTGGCGTGGCGGAATTAAGAGCCGGACGTTATTGGTGTCGACCAAAGAGAATAGCGAGGTCGGTTGGGTTGAATCGGGCGGCCGGTGGCAGTTGGAATTGTCGAATCGAAGGGTGACGAGGAGCTGTAGTTGAGCGAGTGCTATGAGGGCATCTCGAGGGCAGTCGAAATGTATCGATCGACAGGCGGCAGCAAGGCAGACAGGTTTTGAGATGGGTAGAGGCGATGTAATGTAAGGCAATGTAGGTAGCTGCAGGATATATGTGCCCTAAAGGAGAGGTGCAGACACAGACGCAGGAGGACTGGGGCGTGCGGTCGTATTGTGCATGAACGAGTGTGGGCCTGGGCGAGAGAAGTAAGGTAAGGAAGGTAGCTGCGGTCTGGCCGTAGAGTCTGAGAGGTCGAGAGTTGCGAATGGAGGCGCTTTCTGGGCACGAGCGCAGCTACAGGCGACAGGTGACTGCGGCTCGACGTACGTAGGCTGACGGTGCTTGGGTTCGGGCGTGGATGGGATGAGATGAGGTGGGAGGCGACGGTGTTGGTGAGTTGAGGTGGTACGGGAGTAGATAGGGCGAATGAAGTCCAAGTTAGACGGTTGGCTGAGGGTGGGAGAGATGCTGCAAGATGAGTTGTCCGACTCTCGGGAGGCTACGTCTGGTAAGGTAAGGTACCTTCACGCGCGGCGCGCACCGTGTTAATGGGCAGCCAAGCGCTCTGAGCCTGACGTGGGAAGTGAGGTGGAATAAGCGGAAGACGGCGGCAGGGACGTAATGCGCAATGTGCCGTTGGATTGGGAAGAAAACGGAAGAAGCGAAAGAGATGAGAGAGATATGCACGAGGCCAGTAACATGGTCGTGTAAAGGCCGGGGCTGGGAAAGACATTGGAGGGAGATGACCGGAGCGAAGAGACAAGTACTCTGTACCTTTCCATGAAAAATCGGACCAGGCAGGCAGGCAAGGCACCTGAGGAAGAGGTACCTCGGGCGGGAAAGGCTTGCCCAGAGCTGGAGCTTGGCTGGGCTCGAAGCTGGCCCGGGGAGCTGCTGGCCTCCATGAGCTGCCACTTTTACTGATGCAATGCAGGAATATTCGTGCCGTAGGTCCTGTTTCCCACGAACTGGCCGGGGCTACGGGGGTAAGAAAGATGCGCTAGAATGGGACCCTAAGGCCCGCTTCTGGTAGCATCGGATCCAATTGCCCCAGGCCCCCAGCTGGAGGGGCAGTTTTGGGACCCAAATGACCGCAGAGACACCACAAAGGTGACACTGGCAGCATCCGTACCGCCGTCTGTTCGTCGTCTGCATCCACCGCCTGCCTTCATCCTCGGCATTCTCCTTTTCAAGGCCGCTGGCCGAGCAAACAGAACTCTGATTGACATCGCCTCATTCATCTATCATCTATCGCACTTGGCCGTCTTCTCTGTCGCGAATTGCCCCTTGCCGTCCCAACTCCCCATGTGGCAGGCAAACTGACTTTTTGAGCTTCCTTCGTCCGAACCCTAGGATGTTTCTGCCCAAGAATGCATTTGCGCAAACTGACGCCGAGACACGATGGCGCGGCGCTTTCGTTTTGACGCGCGGGATGATAGTCGGCCAGACCAAAGCAGTCGACGAACCACCGACTAGAGAATCTCTACTCCGGCACATGGTTCTAACAATTCTTGCCGCAACGGCCAAGATGCAGGCGATGCGGATAATACATGCAAATTAGTTTCAAGAGTGCATGCTTGCCCGCCGTCCATCTCATACCACCCGCGGCTGAGACACGACAAAGGACAATACATCTCGCTTCTCGCACACACTTCCGCCTCGGTAGCCGACATGATTGTTGCTTTTCTCTCTCCCTCGCTCGCCAGCAGTCTAAAGGAAGGTCGAAATGCACCCACACAGACGCTGCACTCATGGCTTGCCTTGCCGCCGATGAGGTGGTCGATTGTAGTGGCGATGCGAATCCAACGGCGGGGTCATCTGGGTTCAGGAATTCCGAGCGGTACAACGTGGTCGACTGTCGCATTCCGATCCATGATCTATCCCGTCGACCTCGAACACCAACGGTGGGCCCCGTGCGACTGTCACCCCCATCTGGGGGTTTCAGAGCACCAAACCCACCTTCCGAAACAAAACGCTGCTTGAGCAGCGTGGTGTATTCACCGACAGGTTGCACAATTCCTCATGTGCGAGGGCAAGACGATGCAGAATGGTCCAAGTTGTTCGTCGAGGAATTAATTTGTGCTCCCTCACAACGTTACGTACGGATACGTCCATTTACCTCACCTGGCTTGACGACCCGCTAACGTCTGGCCGTGGTCCCTGTTTCGTGGCGACCCGGTCGAGCTAATCCTATCCTGCTTTAGTGTCGAGCCTCCTCCATTCTGGCCAACGGGACGCCGCGCGCCTTCTCAAAGCAGGGAACGTCCCTCTGCTCCGAACAAAGTGCATCCCAGCCACCCCATTTTCAGTGTAAGCTGCCTGCTTCAAGAATCTTCCTGATCTCAGCCGCCATCACCGGCCTCCTGCAACGCCTCCTGGAAGACCTAATGGTGCCAGCGCATCATATGACTGCACGCCCACGGCCACGATCGCTATCGCTACCACGGTCTTCTTAGTCCTCTGAACATGCCTCCGCGAGGCCTCTCATCACCCAGCCCGTCAGCCCCGCCAATGAGAGCCTAACAGGGCCCTCTCACCTCTGTTGGAACTTGGGACGACATTCACTGCCTCAAGTGAGGCAATGCAATAGTACTCTACCGGTTGAAGCTGTGTACTCTGGGGCGATAGAAACTTGGGGGTCCATCTGCTTACTTGCTGAGCCAGCTCCTGGTGCATACGACCCATAGTATGAAAGCCTTGCGGGCCGTCATATCTGCGGCCAACCCCATCTCATTCAATCAAGGACCAATGGGTTCTTCGGTGACCCAACCCTCTCGTCGTGGGCTTCCTAGTAATCCACGGTTGTTTGAAGCACAACCTGACGTATGCCGGATCGAGCAGTAGCCACAAACAGGAGCCTTGAACTGGCGGTGAAGACACCGTTATCCGAGACTTACACGACGCTTCATCAAACAATCGAACCCCCAAACCAGCTGTTAACTCTGACAGGACACACTGCCTTTGTTGCAAGGATTTATCAGGCCTAGAAATGCTGCGGCCAAAGACCCTGGGGAAGCCCAACCTGATTTCGAAGTATCCGCCCGCGACCCTTCGAGTTGGTATCGCCACACGTCGACATGACTGCATGGAATGCCACCAATGCAGTCGTCAGGCGTGCAGTACAGATGCGTTCATCGACATGCGTTGTCAGTGCTCTCGAAGGGGCAAACAGAGGCCGTATCAGCCTGAAAGTCACAATGCGGCGCAACATCGTACGGCACAGTGCAAAGCCACTTCTTCGTCAATCCATCGAAAGCTGACTTGGGTTCCCTCACTCGTCACACGACAGGTCCCAGATCACGGACTGCAGCCCTATCTGTCACGATCAAGTCTCAAACGGACTGGTCTTTTCCGAGATGGTCCAGCTACGGCATTTTCGCTCTGGTCGGTTCAACTTGCCTCACCATCTGCCCAAGCTCATCCCAAGACATCATGACGCCGTTGGGCACTCGGTGAATTGGCACGTGGACGCAACCAGAAGCCAGTGCAACCCCCCGTTTGCCAACTGTCAAATCCAGGGCCTGGATAAACGGCTTCCGAAGCAGCTCTGTTCCTGTGCTTTCAAGTGAAAACACACTCAAACCGAACCCACGGACTCGATTTGGACCCCCCCCCCTGGAACTGTTCCTCGTTCCCAGCCGGAACGGGACGTTGCAGCTCCCGGTCCTGGAAGCTGATTGCTAGATCTCGGAGACCTCGCCGTCTCATTGGGCCTCCTCGTGTCGTCCCTGACATCCGGGCTTGTGTGTCGATGAAGGCTTCCTACAGTTTTAAACGATTGTTTGTTAATGGCAGCGAAGTGACGCCGACGTTATCAGTTTGATGCCCAACAAACATGAGCGAGCAATCCTTCGGTCTCGGAGTGTCTGAGACGATACTACAAATATGGCGGTCTGACCCGGCGTTGCGTCTTGATTGCTACATTACAGCGAATGCTCTTTCCAAGCAACATATTTACCGTTGTTGTTTGCCTCACGCCAGTCACTCACTTCAGCCTTTAGTCATTACTACTTAACAAGCTCAGAGACTGCCAATTTCTTTGATTTGGTCACGCCAATCATATTTCCATTCGATACAAGGCAATTCGCAAAAGGAGTCAAAGATACCCAACGCCAGTATCAGGATTTACATCTCTCTCTTATCTGTGCGCTCGAAAGATCTGAAGTCTCAACCAACCTTCAGATTCGATTCTCGACAGCGTCCAACAATCACCGAAATGTGCCAATACTACGCTCACGCCTTCACCTGCAAGCATAGCAGCTACACATTCGCGCGCTTCTGTCAACCCGCGAGCTTGATACAGAAACCCTGTAGCAAACGCCAGGTCTGGCAGACGATTCGTCTCGACGATGCCTGCGAAGAGTGTCTGACCTGGTTCCCGGACCGGTACCCTTGCCGCCGGCCCCGGTATCAGTGAAGGCAACCTCGCTCGGCGTGGCCTTTCAGCGGCACTGTGTGTGTTGTGCTTGATATTCAACCTGTTGGAAAAGCTCGGCCTTCATATTACACATTCTTTCTCAAGCAACGGCCCGTGTCTGAAGGTGTCCTCGACGTCCCAAAACACCGCAGTCGTCTTACTAGAGCCTTTATGGACGGACGTTTAGATAGAACGGCTGGCTGGTTCAGCTGATGATTATGATAACGATGATGATGGAAGCGCTGTTTTTTCGGGATTAAGTCTGTTATGTGTTACCTTCGAGACCGGCGTATGTGGAACTGTGGATACACAAAACTTGGGATTTGAAGGACTACGGTACCGAGACTGGCATTCAACAGGACAGATCTCGGGAGCATTCTGAAGTTTGTGTTAAATAGAGTTGATTTTCAGACTATTTAAGTCAAGCGAGAGTTGGGTATTCAAGAAGATATGATGGAGTCTGCCTAACTGTTACCGTGCGTCCGATTTGATAGTGTTGAATCCTCCTTTTGACATTCGACATCACAGGTCCGAATCGTCTGATGGTTGAGGCAGCAGATACTCATTGGGTCGACACACTTACAAGGCTGCCCTGTACAAAGATTTCACCATGAACAATTCCAGCGAAGTATAGTCAATTTCTGAAAGACCAATTGGTGCGCTTTGAGGCAGGACTGCTCTCGCCCGAGACGGTCAAGCAACCTCTCTGACTTCATGATGTGAGGTTGACCACTTTTCAGCCAGTGAAATTTCGTGCATTAACACCGTCGAGGGGGTGGACCCAGCTGGCAGCACTGACGCCGGCCCGCCAATGGCGTAAGAGCTCCCGCATAGCTCCCCTCTACTTAGACCCGAAGGAAAGTCCCGGTAGCAAAAAAATTTCGAGTCGAGGAGACCGCCATCAGACGATATCTCAACCTCCCTCCCCGTCCATCCGCGCCGTTGTCGACAACGAGCATCCCATTGTCCATCTCCCCACTCTTCGTTCTTCTGTTGTTCTTCTTTACTATTTAATACACACAACAGGCATTCAATATGTCTACCGCCTTCAGATCCGTCGCGCCTTTCCTGCGCACGGCGCGCGCCTCGCTGCGCCAGGGCAACGTCAGCCCTCTCCAGGCCGCCCTGAAGAGCAAGAACGTCTCTCCCGTCCTCAACGTCTGCCGTAACTACGCCGTCTTCGAGCGTTCAAAGCCCCACGTCAACATTGGTAAGAACAGTCGATGCGGGCTGCATCTGGGTGATCTGGCTAACGAATCGTCTTCTAGGTACTATTGGCCACGTCGATCACGGAAAGGTACACCTCGAGACATTAACCAGCGCAATGACGCACCCTGACTGACCATGTCCAGACTACTCTGTCCGCTGCCATCACCAAGAGACAGGCCGAGAAGGGCCTTGCCAACTTCCTCGAGTATGGTGCCATCGACAAGGCTCCTGAGGAGCGCAAGCGTGGTATCACCATTTCCACCGCCCACATCGAGTACGCCACCGACACCAGACATTACTCCCACGTCGACTGCCCGGGTCACGCCGATTACATCAAGAACATGATTACTGGTGCCGCCAACATGGACGGTGCCATTATCGTCGTCGCCGCCTCTGACGGTCAGATGCCCCAGACCCGTGAGCACTTGCTGCTCGCCCGTCAGGTCGGTGTCCAGCGTATCGTCGTCTTCGTCAACAAGGTTGATGCCATTGACGACCCCGAGATGTTGGAGCTTGTCGAGATGGAGATGCGTGAGCTTCTCAGCACCTACGGCTTCGAGGGTGACGACACCCCCGTCATCATGGGTTCTGCCCTGTGCGCTCTGAACAACCAGAAGGACGACATTGGTGTCAACAAGATCGATGAGCTCATGAAGGCCGTCGATGAGTGGATTCCCACTCCCCAGCGTGATCTTGAGAAGCCCTTCCTCATGTCTGTTGAGGATGTCTTCTCCATCTCTGGCCGTGGTACCGTTGTCAGTGGACGTGTCGAGCGTGGTATCCTGAAGAGGGACACTGAGGTTGAGATTGTCGGCAAGGGTGACGAGGTCATCAAGTCCAAGGTCACCGATATCGAGACCTTCAAGAAGTCCTGCGAGGAGTCCCGTGCCGGTGACAACTCCGGTCTCCTCCTCCGCGGCATCAAGCGTGAGGACATCCGCCGCGGCATGGTCGTCGCCAAGCCCGGCACCGTCAAGGCCCACAAGTCCTTCCTCGCCTCCCTCTACGTCCTCTCCAAGGAGGAGGGTGGCCGTCACACCGGTTTCCACCAGAACTACAAGCCCCAGATGTACCTCCGCACCGCCGATGAGGCCTGCACCCTCACCTTCCCCGAGGGCACCGAGGACGTCGACAGCAAGATGGTCATGCCTGGTGACAACGTCGAGATGGTCGCTACCCTGCACAACCCCTCCGCCATTGAGGTCGGCCAGCGCTTCAACGTCCGTGAGGGTGGCCGCACTGTTGCCACCGGTCTCATCACCCGTGTCATTGAGTAAATGATATGAACCAAAACAAAAAAAAAACTTCGATACCCTGAGTCGGCACTCAGCACACACTCTCTTCCCAGCATACGATATATGATTTGGGACGACCCGAGAAACTGGATGGGAAAATTGGGATTGTACAAAAGGTGTTTGCGTCACGAATTATGTACAATTATCCCCAAGCTTTTTCCGCTTTGAGCCCTCGCGCTCGTGTATATTGTCGGGTCCTGGGCTCAAAGATCTCCACTCTACTTCAACCCCTTGTCTTGAATCATGTACTTTTAGAGACGATGGTCAATAGAATAACGTGCTTTGTGCCACATGATTACTTTTTGGTTTCTTCAAACGTAGTTTCATTCGGCGTGACAGACATTGGCGAGACTCGAATCGTCATTACATCCCCAGACTTGATAATGACCCTGGCAGACGAGAACCAGGCGGCGCGCCCTCTGCGGACCGCGTCGCGCTTTACAGCACGTTGAATTGGTGGCCCGGGCATAGTGATGGTGGTAAGGTTCAATGTCGTGGTATTCGTCTATCCTCAATGGATGTCCGACGGAGTGCACTTTATTCTTCCGTTAAGCCAGCCATAAGAACTCCATGCCCTTGGAAGCCTCCCTCTGTCTGAATGCATTTTCCACGGGCCATCATGCCCAACCACCTTCGAGTCCCATCATCGTCTCGTAATCCTGACGTTTAACGGTACTGTAGTTCACACGCATGTCAGCCATTGCGTGCTCTTCATTCGCGGGGGAAACGTCGTGTAGATCCCCCCAAGGGTTTCTCGTCGCATACCTTGTTGAAGCCGATGTCCTTGGCCTTCTCACGGAAGCACTGACGGCAGAGGTTGAGGTCGTACTTGCGGATAAGACCGGCCGTGTGCTTGCAGACACGGCTGTGATAAAAAATGTCAGCACTTCGGTCCCTTCTGTGACTGTTTTTCTTCCCCCTTCAATCATCCTCCAGGTGTCCCTATCCAAAACTTTTCCTCCATCCAGGGGGGGATTGGGGTTCTTCGTACCAGCTGCGAGAGCCCTTGCCGTAGTTGCGGGGGCGGGAGTTCCAGACAGATTCGTGAGACATTTTGTCGGCGTGAGGGGGGCTTGTCGTCGAAGGTGTCGGCGAAAACTCGAGATGGGTTGACTGGGTGGTGGTTTGACGCTTTTCGCAACGGAGCGGAAATTTTGTGTGGGATGCGATTTTTTGGGAAGGGGCGCCATTGGAGGGTCTGGCAGCCCCAGAACTGGCAAGCGAGAGAGAGGTCCGTGCCACGAGTGGTCTTCTCACGTGAGAGAGCGATAAGATAAGGCGGGGTTGCTTCTCGATAAGAGTCTGATAGGAGACCTGTTTCTTTTTTTTTTTTTGGGTGCCGTTCTTGCTCTGGCGACCAAGGTGGGGCCGGGGAAGCGGTGCGCGCCACCTACCTAAGGTCAGGTAAGGTAGCAGACAGGGGGCTTAGCTGTTGCTTCTGTGACGTTGGAGGTTGTCCTGCAAAGTGGCTTCTTTATTAACACCTTTAGCAGACCAGCTGATTTCAAATCGCCTTTAGCAACACCATCATCCTTGCTGCTGCATTTTATTTGAGCAGCTACCTATCGCATCCTGTTGGGTAGGAACTACATTGAATCGTTTTTATTTCCCATTCAGCTGCGTCACCCAAACCACAATGGTTGCTTTCAAGAGCTTCGTGGTCGGCGCTCTGGCAGCCACCGTTGCCGCCAAGTCTGCCGTCCTCGACCTCATCCCCTCCAACTTTGACGATGTCGTCCTGAAGTCTGGCAAGCCCACTCTGGTCGAGTTCTTCGCCCCCTGGTGCGGCCACTGCAAGAACCTCGCCCCTGTCTACGAGGAGCTTGCTTCTAGCTTTGAGTCAAACAAGGACGTCCAGATTGCCAAGGTCGATGCCGACGCCGAGCGTGACCTGGGCAAGAGGTTCGGGATTCAGGGATTCCCTACTCTCAAGTGGTTCGATGGCAAGAGCGACAAGCCCACTGACTACAGCGGTGGCCGCGATCTGGAGAGCTTGAGCAACTTCATCACCGAGAAGACCAATGCCAAGCCCAAGAAGAAGTACACACCGCCTAGCGCTGTGAACATGCTCACCGACGAGTCCTTCAAGACCATTGTTGGTGGCGACAAGGACGTCTTTGTCGCCTTCACTGCCCCCTGGTGCGGTCGTAGGTGTTACCCTTCCTCTTTGTTGCTGGACATTGCTGACCCAACCCTTCAACAGACTGCAAGAACCTCGCCCCCACCTGGGAGACTCTCGCTCAGGACTTCTCTCTCGATGAGGGTGTCGTGATCGCCAAGGTCGATGCCGAGAACGAGGCCAGCAAGGGAACTGCCGCTGCCGAGGGCGTCTCCTCCTACCCCACCATCAAGTTCTTCCCCAAGGGCTCCAAGAAGGGCGAGCTCTACAGCGGCGGCCGCAAGGAGGAGGACTTCGTCGCCTTCATCAACGAGAAGACCGGCACTGCCCGTGTTGCTGGTGGTGGCCTGAACGCCGTTGCCGGCACCATTGCTGCCCTTGACGAGATCGTCGCCAAGTACATCAGCGGCACCACCATTGCTGACGCCGCCGCCGAGGCTAAGAAGGAGGCCGAGACCCTCAAGGAGAAGGCCCAGTACAAGTACGCCGAGTACTACGTCCGCGTCTTCGACAAGCTCTCCAAGAACGACGGCTACGTCAAGAAGGAGGTCGCCCGTCTCGACGGCATCCTCAAGAAGGGCGGTCTCGCCCCCGCCAAGCGCGACGAGATCACCAGCAAGACCAACATCCTCCGCAAGTTCCTCGAGCAGGCCAAGGAGAAGGTGTCCGACGCGAAGGAGGAGTTGTAGAGAATTTTTTCTACGCCGTCACGTTACACATGCATCAAGAGCTCACGGTATTGGGGGAGAGGGTGTTGGAGAAGTGAGCAACTGAACGGATCAGCTCACGTTGAGGACTTTGGTAGCCTAGGATACCGATGAAGAAATAAAATAACAAGAATAACTCATGTCTGCGTGTGAGACTGGCCGTGATATCAGCTCTATTCGTGCTTTCATGTAAACCCTGAACGCCTTTAGGACAAACGTGCTACTAATACTGAATGCTGAAGAGGTCAAGACGACTTTGATGAGCCCTCCTTCTCCTTATTAGCGAGAAGCGCTGCCTCCAGGTTGTCCAGTCGACGAGACATTTCATCCACTGAGACAGTCGTTAGTGATGCTGTCCTGGGCAATGGGTAGCAGTTGTGCTCACTCTTCGCGAAGATCTCGCTAGACACCCCGGCAAACTTGTTGGAGATGGTGTTCAGAAGTTCCTCAACGGCAGCGTTGACATCGCCCTTAGCGTCTTCCGAGGCCTGGCGACAATTAGTATCTGCTGTGAACGAGGCCTTATCCCATGGACGACATCCTAAGGCGCTGCGCGAGGCGTCGCGAGACTTTGTGGGGTTCATCGCAATGTCTTACTTACGGCAGACTGGTTGCTCGTGTCGGGGTTGTTGGAGGCCATATTGGAATTGTTGTGTTGAATTGCGAGAGATGAATTGTTCCAAGGCTGTTCAGAAGTTGGTGGTTGGAATGAGGCTCACGTATGGTTGCCCTGCCTCTCTCGATGTTGGCGCGTTGCGGTGAAAGTGGTGGCGGGGTACTGATGGTGCCGTTGTTGGTTCAGTTCCCAGGACAGAGGGGTGCCGTGCCTCCGGATTAGCACTGTAGCGGCCCCGACTTAGGCAGGTCCGTACACCTGTAGTGGGGCCCGCCCTCTAAGGCCAACGGAAGCATCCCGTCCTCCGACCCAATGCCGTCATTCCACCTGCATAGCAACACCTCCAACCCACCAACTCAATCTCCCGATCCCATCTTCGAGACGAACACCACACGACCACATCCTTCCATTTAGCAACCCTGCTCCGCCACAGCACCTACGGGAGGATCAGCTCAGCAAAGCCAAAGGATGGCAACGAGATAAACCCGGGGGCAACGGTCGTCCGGCATCATGCCCTATCCACACGAAGACCCGCGCATCGTCGTCATCGGCCTCGCCCTCATCGGCATCCTATGGATCTTCCTGGCGCCCGGGAACGGCGGCGCGTCCCTCTTCTCGGCCTCCGACCTCGCGACGCAGCGGCTGCGGCGGCACCAGCACGCCCTCGAGCTGCTCAACGCCTCGTCGTGGGGCAACTTCTCGGCGCGGCGGAACGGGACGGGCGAGGAGGAGCTGCCGCGCTCGCTTAACATCACGGGCTTCCGGGCCGAGGACGGCTTCGCATGGGACGATCTGGAGAGGTTCCAGGAGAGGTGCCTCGAGTGGAGCCGGAACGCGATACCGCCCGTCGGAGGGGTGAACCTCTGGGACATTGGCCAGGGCGAGGCGGTTTGGCAGAATGCCACGGGGGCCGTGAAGGGGACCTGGGTGCGGAAGGATGCGTCGGTGAAGAGGCAGTGGGCGAGCTACAACCTGAGTGCGGTCACGCCGAGTCTGCACTGGAGCGGGGCGGAGGCCGATTGGGCGAGGAACATTACGGGTGACGAGGGCAAGATGCTGCTGGACGTCATCGATACCGGCCGGCACACGAAGGAGTTTGAATACGAGAGCATCCTGCACGAAGGTGTCCCGACATCAGGCGGCAGAGTCAGAAGTGCTAAGGCATCGCTGACCGTCGAGGATGTCAAGGGAACCGGGTTCAATTGGGAAATGAGGTTGCATGGAGTTCAGTGGCCGCGTCAAGGGACGCTTCTCTTGACCACGACGAGCGAAAAGTTTGACGGCATATTCGGGTTGCCTCATCTTTCTCCAAGCTCCGACTTTTTCCAGTCTAGTCGACTGCTTCTCAACGCGACCTTGTCCGAGGTGCTGCGGAGAAAGGAGAAGGAGGTCTTCAACGACGGCGTCATGCCTTGGACTTCAGACCCGTCGAACCCGCCGGATACTCTCAACCCGTCACCGCACTGCGAGTACATCATGTACGCGCAGGTTCATCCCCCGGACAGAAGTCGGTTGAACATGAAGGGTTTCCAGTCGGGAAGGGAAGGCATGTCGCAGATCATCAGCGACATCGAGCAAGAGCTTCGCTTCCCGAACGGCGTCCCCATTCGTGGGGTTCCGGAGCTCAAGCTATCTGCCATCATCTGGTCTCCCGACTGCGGGTTCTTTCTTGAAACCAAAGGGCCCCCAGACTTTCCACCGGCAGACGGCCAGCACCTGCAGGGCATGAAGACCGAGATCATCTACTACAAGATCCGCGTCTGGATCCTGGCATTCGCAGGGGTCATCATCGCCCAGGCCCTCCTCTTGAAGCACCAGATGAGGGAATCTGCCACGCCGTCCACCATGGGCCGCATCAGCTATAACACAATCAGTATGATGGTCATGGTCGACGGCAGCATCTTCGCTGCCGCCTCCATGTGGGCTCTAGACGCGAGCATTACGTATCTCGAGTCTTTGTCCCTGCTCTTTGCCGCATTTCTCTCTATGTCGATGGGTGGCTTCTTCCTCGCGGAGATTCATAAAGTACAGGAGCCGGAGAACAGAAGACGCAGTGAGCGCGAACAAGCCGACACACCACGTACGCCAGCAACTCCAGCACAGAACCTCGAGGCAGACTCCCTTCCGCGACCGGTCACGGCCGGACCACGCAGACGAGCCCCCACGCCTCCGGTCATCGTCCCCTCAGACCAGGATATTGATGCCGACATCGATGCAGTAACAAACGGCGCTGCGGCTGTCCCGAACGCTGGCGCGGCCACCCACGCCGGCCCCGAGGTCACCTTCCAAGCCGTCATATTCCGGTTTGCTATGATAGTGTCTCTCCTCCTCCTGGTCTCTATAGCATCGACGTCCTGGTACCCCCGCATCCGCAATGGGTTCGTAAACACTCTTTCGATGGTATACTTTTCCTTCTGGGTTCCGCAGATTCATCGCAACGTAATCCGCAACTGCCGTCGAGCCTTGACGTGGCGCTTCATGATGGGCCAGTCGATCCTCCGTCTCCTCCCATTCGCTTATTTCTACGTTTATGAGGACAACTTTCTCTTTGCAGAGACAGACGTCCGAGCGTTCCTCGTTTTCTGCGCATGGCTATGGATACAGCTTTGGATCTTGGCATTCCAGTTCGTTCTCGGCCCGCGCTTTGGTGTGCCTAAGAGCTGGACCCCCGACGCGTGGGACTACCACCCCGTCCTCCGTGAAGACGGCGTTGAGGCCGGCGGTCTTCCTATCGGCTTGCTCTCTGAGCCCGGCTCCCCGTCTCTCGACAGGGTGAGGACGGGCGAGGACAAGAAGGGGAGTAACCTGCGTGCTATCGACTGCGCCATCTGTCGCGAGGTTCTCGAAGTGCCCGTCATGAGGGCGGGCGAGGAGGATCCCACCGCCGGCGGGGTCGTTGGCGTGTTTACGAGGAGGAATTACATGGTTACCCCGTGCCGACATATTTTCCACAGCGCTTGTTTAGAGGGATGGATGAGGTTCCGGCTGCAGTGTCCCATATGTAGGGAGGAGCTGCCGCCGTTGTGAGTGTTGATACCAAGATAGACCTGTATTTTCAAGCGAATGACTTTTGATGAAATGCTTCGCTGCATTGTGGGTGTTATCGAGCCTTGGTGAGCGACTTCCCGAAAGCACGGCAATACCCATCTATGGCCCGGCTTCGGGCTCTTGCTTGCGACGGTGCTTTGCCTGTTATCTCAGCGTATCTGTCACAGGCAGCCAGGACCGCGGTTGCCTACTGTGGCCAACCTTTCGTCGGTGGGGTATGAAGGTGCGAGTCAGAGTTGAAAGAAAGACCGCTCGTCCTGACGTTGCTGCCGATGAACTGAGAGTACCTGCAGAGGTACCGTCGTTTGATCTGCAAGTAGGTTGGGTAGCTTACCCAACAGTTGGAGGTGCAACTTCGAATCCATCATCCAACTTCATGTACTTCATGGAGTCACGTCTGCTTTGCTGCCGCACACCTACCTTGTGCTCCTAGTGGAGCTACTGTGATTTCCCAACCTTATACGCTCGCTTCCTCAAAGGTGCGTAGTTAGAACTCTTTTCAGATAGATAGGTACGTCTGAGCATCAGCAATCTTGCCTTTCCATTATTCATCACACCCAACGCCATCATGAAGCAGGGCGAATCCCTTCCTCTCCACCACAGTAAGCCCACCTCTCTAAATGAAGACCCAAACCGGAGTTTAGACTGACACCAAAGACAGGCATCTTGCTGCAAAGGCACCGCCGTCTGCGGAACATCATCACAATATACCACGAACCCGAAGACGGCGTAGAACTAAAAGTGTCCTACTCGAGAAACCTAGCCGGTGTGGTTGCCAAAATCCAACGGCGTAGCAACCACAAAAACGCCTTCCACCGCTTCCAACATCTCCCAGTCGAACTCCAGGTCGAGATCTGGAAATGGACGCTCGTAGAGCCGCAGGTATACTGCTTTAAGAGTGAGGACGACCAAAGGGAGCGAATATTGTGTCCAAAGCCCCGTCCTGCACTGTTTGTCTGCGCATTGTCAAGACAGATTGCGACAGAAAACCTCTATCGGATGCCGCAAACTATGCGCGGGAAGGACACCCGTAAAGATCATGGCTGGGTCTACGTTAACCCTGCTACCGACATGTTTTACAATCACTTCTCCTCTATTGACAAGCAGAGCCCAAACTGCCCAGAATCTTGGAGGAAAATGGCCAGCGGCACGGCTATAATGAAAAAAACATACAACGATTATCCACTCACCTGGCTTAATGATGACGGACCGATAAGCATGACCAAGCTGGAGGAGAAGTGGCTCGTGGAAAACTACTACTACTAACGATATACCATCAGACGTGTGTATCGAAGAGATGCTTGAACAGGTTGGATTATTCTGAGAAACAAATCAACAGCAAGTACGCACACACAATTAGGACAGTCACCAATATAGTAGACAATGTTCCACAAAAACTATTTTGTTAGATGCAGGGCTTGATCGACTCAACCGAGAATTGGAACCACAAACTTGGACTATTGACGAGCTTGAGATGTCTAGATACATTCCGTCCAAACTCGCTGGTTCAGGGAGACTTAAAGATGTTGCTTAAAGCATGCTTTGCTCAGTGTCGAACCGCAGTTGTCGTGTGTCCCTCTCAAGTCATGCATCCATGAGGCCGAAAGTTGGTCTGCACGAATGCTCGCTGCTGAAGCTAGCCTCTGCACCGATGCGGCACGGGCGAATACAACCTTCCTGAAAGATCAAGTCTCTCGCGCCGCTGGCACCCACACAAGACGTCAAAGCCATGTCACGTAGATTTAATCCTTGCTCTAGTGTGCGTTCGGTGATGCGCAAGTCCGATCTGGGTAACAAATGTTACCCTGAAGACCTGTTGGATAATAAATTACAGCATAGGTATCACACAGGAGGACGGAAGGTGAAGCTATCTGAGGCCGTGGGAAGAGTCATACCGTGGAATTACACGGTGCCGGCCGGACACAAAGCTCGGCGTCGTCTTAAGCTCGACGGTCTAGGGCCCAATCCGTGTGGAGACTTCGGGTCTCCATTCGACATCCCAGACCGGACCTTACGGGGTGCTCGACTTTGAGTCGCCGCAAAGAGAGACTTGCGCCGTGACGCCTGATTGAGGCAGACTATGCCGCGAAATTCACTGACATAGGATCAATCACGCACTGCCAGATCTTCGTCATCCCACACAGAGCCCCGTAAGGCGAATCGAGGCAGTGTATGGTGCCGATATCATCATTCCCAAAGGCTGAGGTGGGTGATGTACGTACAGAAGATCCACGCGATCACCCGCGTGGAGACCTCCCCAAGACGGGGTTTATCAATCACAGGTTTCGGCATACCCAGAGACTCGGTCGCCATGCTACCGTATGAAGTCATTGCTGGTACTGGATCGACGGCAGCTTTTCGACAGGGGGTTTGGGTTGGAGAAAGGGCGAACGTTCTGTGGAACCAGCACCAACGTGGCCGTCAGCACAGCCTTCCATCCAATGGAACCTTTGCATCGACAGTACCAGCGCCTCCTCGCTACTGTTCTGACATGCAGCAATTGTGCATTAGCATGTCTTGCGGGATTGGCCTGCTGTTTCCCCCAATCTCTCTGAGTGGGGAAGTGAGACAAGGCATTTCGCAAGGCAGGGCGCTGAACGTCCCTACGGTCGGAGCTCGCGATGTGATGCCTGGCATGGCGCTCAACTGGCGGCCGTGATTGCTGTGCATCAGGCCTTGGAGTAGTCACAGATGATGTAGGCGGGACGTCAACTCATTTGCCGCAATTCATACTGGTGGGCAGCAGCGGACATGTCCGATGTTGATGCAGCAGAACGGATGCCGTTTGGTGATATCCCGGCATGAACCAACCTCACCATGACACTCCCCGACGTGCCTCCGAATCATTATGCGACCCTGATGGCCAGTCAAAGATCCCAACCAGAGAGACATTCACGAGCTTGACCAGCCTACTTCCGGAGCATTTCGTCCTTACCGGTGCCTTTGGCTGGTAGCGACAGATGGGGAGCGTGTTAGTCGCTGAGGGCGTCTTCTAGATATCGTTCCAGACTTTACAGTCTCAGTTGACACCGGCCCGCGATAGTCTTTACCGATCAACAAGGGCGATCTCCGGATTCCCGGGACTGGCAAGGGGCATCCTCAGTTTCGGGTTGGTGGCTGGAATTGACATGCTTTACCGGCGCATCCCTCCCATACCAGCGGAGCGGCCACAGGGTCCGAGACGGGTTGGACGACCGAATGTGATAGAAGAGTGCGCCAATCAACGTCCACCGCAACTGGAAAGGAGAGTGAGACCAACCTCCGCGTCTCGGACCCTTAATGGGGCCTCTAGGGTTCTTCCCAGGCGGGGAGGCAGGGCGCAGCTCGAGATGGTGTCGAGCGCAATATTGCCGTCAAGCATACCGGGCCCAGTAACGTTCGCTGAAGCGTCGATAGGGCTGAAGAAGATGCAGGGAAGGCGCCAAATGGGCCATGGACCATGTTTGGAAGGCTTCCATGCGTTGATGATGGGGCAAGTGACTGGGATCGCAAAGCGGAGTGGGTGAAGAAGAGAACGTGACTGTTGACAGATGGCTGAGCATTGGCGCTAAGGCAGGCGATATGTAGGCATATCCAAGGGTACTGTTGAAGTGCGGTCATTGGATGTAAAAAGGAGGCCGCCCTAGACAGTAACTCAAGGGGGCATCGATGGTCTTTTTGCATGGCGGCAGGCAAAGCAGGGCATCAGTGACGCTCTTTGGGGATTGTAGGGCTGAGATGGAGGGTGGAAGGTCGTCTCGAGAGGCCTGGCCGAATGATGAGTGCATCTGAACCCCAGCGGAAGCGGGCCGGAATGGATTGCATGTGGCGCAGCTGACATGGCCAGCAAGAGCGGTGAGCAGGATGCTGCAAGCTTTCGATTGTTAGGAAAATACATTACTATGTCGGATAAAAGATGGCAGTGTTGATATCGGGTCGACTGTATAGAAACTTGACGGTACTTGGGCTGAGATGAAGTGTCCCTGCGTCGATGCGACGGCCGTCATGGTTAGTTGCATGGACAACAACAGCGATCAGGACACCTTACAGGAGGAAGTAGTAAACCTTCCAATGGCGCCTTGGGTAGGGTCGCGCAAGGATCTCGCATCTGAGACCACAGAGCATCCGGATGTGTGTTTCTCTTCGTGATGTTGTAAGTGGCCAAGATGCGGTTCTGTACGCCCGACGCGCCATGTGCAGCTCGTAGAATGGCAGCAAAGAAGCTTCGGATTGCTGGGGCGTCCACGAGCGCAGATGAAAGCATTGGAAACACCAAGTTGACGAAATCTCTCCACCGTCTCCGGGATATCTTCCAAAGACTGGTGTTGTAGTGAAATATGACAGAGGTTATTTTGATGTAAGGTCGGCCGATACTGAGGTAGGTGTTGAGCGTCGGCGGGCGTCCAAGGCGGAGCCGACAGTGACATGAGCATTTGCGGCCATCGCAGGCTAGCGGGAGCTACGGCCTAGGCTCTTCCTTGGTTGTCCTGCTAGACAGTGCTAGACAGGAACGAATTGCCTAGCACGAGCCTGAGGAAACGGGCCGCTCGCATCCATCTGCCAATGAGCCGTGTTAGCCTTGCTCCAGATCAGGAGAAAAGTCATTCCTGCTATTGGGGACACGGGGGAAAGAGGCGCACTCGTGCAGTTGCCATCTTTGCGGACCATCAGCCATGCAAGCCAAGACCGGCCTGTGCCTCTTCTGCAAGTCACTGAGACTGACTCAAGGAGCGGACGTGAGCTTGACATTGTTTCCCGCTGACACAGCCATTTCTTCAAGCGGTATGGCGGCATGGCATGTTGATTCCGAAAGTTGTCATGCGTTTACTTCTTCTGGCCTGTTGGCGATTGCGAGACAACGGCCATGTCATTATGGGGTTTCCAAGCCGGTGGGGTTGCCTGAAGCGTTCACGATGGTCGAGACCAAGACGCTTGAATCGCCCGGTGACGGGACGGCCCTCGGTCCTGCCAATGCTTGTTTCTTGCTCCTCATGAGGAGACAAGACAAAATTGCATCAAAATCAGGCGTCTGAGAGACGCGCCGTTTGCAAATGTTCATCACGAGGAACCTCGCCCGGTCTGGATGCCTTGCCGGGGGCCTCTCCAACAATATTTCCTCGTGTAAAGCATTGCTTTCAGCATGTCCAGTCCGCCGCCCCACAGACGTCATCTTGGCCTTCACGATTTTGAAGGAAATCGCCGTCAGGTGGATTGGCCGAAAAGAATTTCATGAGCGGAGGAGATTGCGTATAAAGAAAATCGGAATGCAGTCGTTGTGAGAAAAATAAAAATGAAATTCCCTGAGCCATTGAGCTACCGCCCAGATGTCGCCCTTCAGCCTAGTCGCCATCCTCTTGGTGTCCGGCCTCCGGGCCCTCGCCGCCGCCGTACCGAGTGCAGCGCTTGACGGCGTCATCCCCGGACAGTATATCATCCGTCTGAAGCCTGGCCTTCAACCTGCTGAATTCGAAAGCCACATGGTATGGGCGACGGGGGTACACAAGCGCAGTCCTGGACGGCGGGACACAACCGGCATTGAAAAATCATTCAACATCGGCGCCTTCAACGCTTACACCGGCAGCTTTGATGATGATAGCATTGCTGAGATCGGTGCTGGAGAAGAGGTGCTATCCGTCGAACCCAATCGCATTGTAGAACTCGACGCCTTTTACACCCAGTGGAATGCACCTTGGGGTCTTACAGCCTTGTCTTCGCCAAACCGCCTGCCAGACTCGAGCGATACCGGCTCATACGTCTATGACAGGTCGGCGGGGGAGGGCACGTTTGTGTACATGCTTGACACAGGCGTGCAAATCTCGCATCCCAACTTTGGCGGCCGCGCCGTTAGGGGCTACAACGCGCGGCCAGAGGAGGCATTCGATGACCTCGGCGGGCATGGAACCCACACCGCAGGTATCGTGGGGTCTCAGACGTATGGCGTGGTCAAAAAGGCGACAATCGTGGCTGTTAAGGTCCTAGCGGGCGGTGTAAGTGCGAATCCTTGCCGCGTCTGACAACCGCAAGTCTTGATCGGCGCTAACAAAAGCGCCACCACCAGGGCTTGGGCACTGTTGATACTGTCCTTGACGGGTACAACTGGGCTGTCAACAACATCACACAGACGCCAGGACGTCTGGGAAAGTCTGTCATCAGCATGAGCCTCGGTACTGGAGCCCGTCCCTTTGAATTCTGTCGGCCCCATAATTGACATCTTATCTCAGGCTTCACCGTCAGCTCGCAGACGTCGGCTCTCGATGACGCAGTGAAAGCTGCGTATGATCTTGGAG